TTCCAGAAGCCTGAGGCAGCTGGGGCTGGGCGGGACTTAGGTGAGAGGTGTGAAAGAAGAAAAGAGGCTGGAGGAAGGGAAGGCGAAAGGGTGGGAGAAGTCAGTGAGACAGGAGATGATCCAGAGGGAAGAGGCGGCTGAGTGACCATGGTCTCAAAGATCTTAACATTCAAGTCTTTGACTCACAGAAGCCCTCTGTAGCGGTTGCCCAGTGGGCAGCAGCCTCGGGCCTCTGGGGCCTCAAGCAGTCGGGCACAGGCCATGCCCCTGAGAGGGTGGCAAGGCCTCTCCATCCTCCTGCTGCCACTGCCCCCTGCTGCAGGCAGTCTCTCATGGGCTTTCCTTCGCTCACCCTGGCTCCTCGCACAGGTCCCATGGTTCCATCTTTCTGACCAAATTCACTGTCCTCATGAGGCCTCTCTAAGACCCTCAGCTCAGAGTTAGGGCATCAGATTTAGCAAATAAGAGAACAAGATGCCCAGTTAAACTGGAATTCCAGATAAACGGGTTGTGTATCCTATGCAGTGTTTGGGACATAGTTATATTAATTTATCGGGAATTTGAACTTAACTGGATGTCCTGTTATTTATATGGCGAATCAGCTCCTATGGTGGCAGCTTGTGGTTAACCCAGTGGCCTTTTGCTCATGGGTTGACCCATGGGAGCCTGGAGGGAAGTACGAAGTGGTTCCTTGTGCTCTTCGAAAGCCATCTGTCAGGATCAAGGAGGGCGGCTTCTCCCGATGTCCTCTGGTCCCTTGATGAGAAGCCCTCTCTTCTGACCCAGCCAGGGTCCTCATCCCTCTCTTGGCCCATGTGGGGGCTCCTCTCAACTGCCCTCGTCCAAAGCCTCCTCTTCTTCCTCCATCACCCATCAAAATCCCCCTGCCTCTCTTTCTGGGACCAGGTTCCCGAGTCTGGGGACTAAACCCCAGTCTTTATGTTCCCACAGAGCCAACAGGGCCTGCCTTCCCTGTGGGTATTAGAAAAAGATTTGAGCGAGCCCAGTTTCCTGCCAGGTTCTTGAGCTATGAGTTCTGTCCGACGCCTTCCCCCAGGATGGATTGCTGGGAAGAAACCTCAGCCTGGAACATTCACGGCCTTCCTTGGGGAGAAGGGAGCTGCCCTCCCAGGCCAGTGACACCCTGAGGCACTCCAGGAGGCGGGCGCTGCCCCCATAGCAGCAGGCTGCCTCAGACTGGCTCCCTCTGATGGCCAAGTAATGGCCAAGTGTGGGGCCCCTCAGATACTCCATCGCCATCTTCACCATCACTGTCATCATCACCGTCATCAAGCCATTTCAGCCACACTGCTCAACAGGTCAGATATGTTCTCTCATCCACTTCTTCATAACCCTGTGCGTTCGGAGCACCAGCCCCACTTTACCATGGAGAGGCAGCATCCCAGAGTGATTTCAGCCTTTATACATGGCCCCAGGGTGGCTGAAGGCAGAGCCAGAAGTAAGTGCTTCCTGGCTGCCACTGTCTCAGCCCCTCCAGGATGCCCCATCCTTCCTCATAAAGGGAGGCAGGTAGTCTAGCTCACACCTGAACTGCCATGTCAACAAGGTGACCTCTGCACGTCCACCCCTCTCTGCCTTGCCCCCTCAAAGGTCCCCCTTGCATCCCTGGGGGGGGGGTACCAGATGCCCAAGGGACCCACCCATCCCCGAGCTTCCCTTCCCACTTCCAACCCTGCTCAGGAGAGCTATCTCCAGGACCTACCTTATCTCTGCTTGTGAGTGTGCAAGGTCACCGAGTTCAGGCTCTCCCAAAAGAGTCTCAGAAAACAAGTCCCCTTACCAGGATGCACCTGATTCTACTCCATGGTCTTCTGCATACAACTGTGCCTCGTCATGAAGCCAAGAGTCCTGTGGAACTGGGAGGAGGGGGGCTGGCGGGCATCAGGCAGGGCTGCATGAGATCTGCCCCATCACCCTCCACCCTCAGCCCTCCTCTCCTGCTTTTGTCCCTGCAGGTCTAACTGGCTGAAGCCATGCTGTGGGAAGAGAGCAGCCATGTGGCAGGTATTTTTGCTCAGTGCAAGTCTCAACAGTTTCCTGGTAGCCTGTGTAATATTGGTGGTGATTCTCCTGACTCTGGAACTTCTAATAGATATAAAGCTTCTCCAGTGTGAGTAGCAAGAGAGATACCTATGTGAATACATATGATGTCAATATTCACTGTGCATCTATCTGCAACCATCAGGGGTCCCCAACAGGCAGGCTGCGAGGTGCCCCCTGCCTGATGCCACCACCGAGCCGCTGACCCCCTGGTTCATGGGGATGGCCGCTGGGGAGGGATGTGTCTGGCAGCTCCTCTGTCACCCAGAATCCGTGTGCCCTCTCTGCCCAATCTGGCCTCTTCAGTCCCCTCCCCTGCCTCCCATGAGCAGAAACTGATGAGATAAAAAATATGTTGGGGACCCCTGTGTGCATTTTTTAATAGTTCCTATTTAGAATTTTCCAGGTTGGAATTTTTAGTGGCTTAAAGAGAGTTTCCATGTATGGAAGCACATGACCCTGTCGTAACAAATAATGACAGCAGCCACAGTGATGCTAAGAGTCCTTGTATCTTTCCCCAGCTGTGAGTTGGCAGTGTTATTTACATACATTGTGATAATTTTGCTTTTCAACACAATTGGCCCACCAGCTGCCCTGCATGATGGGCAAGACTGTACCATCCCATTTTATAGACAGAGCAAGTTGAGATTAGAGCTAGAGACGTGCCCTTGAAGAGGATCTTCCAGCCACCAGGCCATGTACCTGCTTGGCCAGTTCTCCCCCCATTGCAGGTCATCTTGGGGTTCATCCCAGCTCCATGTTTATGGGAGCCAGATGCGCACAGCAGCGGGAAGCTTGTCAACTGCCTTTCCTGTCCCAGTTGTCCCGGAAGCATGGCTGTAAGACCAGAAGGCCCCTCCTACCACCTCCCTTGCAGACTTGTTTGATGGCATGGGGACTGGCGGCCAAGGATGTTGACCATTGGCTTTGGAGGGGCGAATGGTTCTGTTTCCTTGGCTCCCTGATTAGAAGGTGGACCATTCAAGTCCAGATTTGTGTGTGTGTGTGTGTGTGTGTGTGTGTGTGGTACTGGGGATCGAACTCAGGACCTTGGGCTTTCGAGGCAGGCAGCAGAACCACTAAGCTAAATCCCCAGCCCCAAGTCCAGATTTTAGAAAGGTGAAATGATTGGCTCCAGAGAGATTTCTTTTCCTGCCATTGTCAAAATCCAGAACTACAGATTCTGCGACCCCCAAACCCCTGTGGTCACCATGGGCTTGTATTCTCTAGCCTCCCAATTCCTCCACGGGTCCTCCATGCTCAGGGCCTGTCAGGGTTTCCCCCCACCCCCAAGACACATCATCTCCTGGTTCTCCAGGAGAGGGTGACAGCAAGCACAGAATTGCTTTTGTCTGATCAGCCTAGTTGGGTTTTATGTGGCTGGGGGCCCTTTGGTTCCAATTAAAATATCTTCCAGCATAAAGTGACCGGTACTGGTTTTACACTCAACCTGTCTTCAATTAAACCATGTTGTAGACTTTCCCTCCCACTCATCCTTACTGTCTGCTTTTTACGAGGTCTGACCATAACGGGCCCTTTCTTCCCCTGCAGTGGATTGTCGTCGGGGCCCTCGGCCGCTCAGGTTGTGACAGGCATTGAGTAGAACTGAGAACCGAGCCGACAACTGGAATTTTGCTTAAAATTAAGTATCCAGGAGATTGATTTGGGTGGGAGATCCAACAGCAGCTCATAAAAGGCATCTTAAATTCCATAAAATGCACCATCAGAGATTTATTGCTCTTCTAAAGCAAACCGTAAAAAAAGGCACAGGAATTCATTTGAGAAATAATGAGGAGAGATTTTATGTTTTCAGAATCATCTGGAGGTCTTTGCAGAGTCACCCAGGCCTCTGCCCCTTGGTTCCCTCTGGTATCCATGGAGCTCAGGGCAGGAGGGATCCACGGCATCTCCAGGGCTCCTTTTCTCAGGGTCAGCTTGGCCCAAGGCCCGGGGACCCCAGCGTCCCCCACCTGGACCCTGGTATTGCAGCCTCTTCCCCTCACGTGTGCTCGAAGCCCTGGGTTTCACCCGCCCGCAGGGCTGCATGTTCCAGGATGCAGAGAAAAGCTGCTGGTTCTTCCTCTGGATGGCCCTGGGCATCAAGCAGGCTCGCTAGGGAGGCAGCGCAAGGCCTTTCACAGCAGCGTCCCTGTCCCTGCCCTGGGATCTCTGCGCTCTGGGGAGCACCCCTCCCGGAACACCCCTCCGGCCCTCTCCACCTCAGAGCTCACCCAGCCTTTGACATGGCCCCATCACCCTGCTTTGGCCTCCCTTGCCGATAAGCTCTGCCCCGCTAGGGTTCCTGTAGTCAGAAGGGCCTTGGAGAGACCCAGCTCTCGCCACAGCTGGCACGAGGTGAGGTGAGCACCGTCAGGGCCGACAGCCCCCCCACTTCTGCTATGAGGCCTGGAAGGTGAGAGGCGCAGTGGAGTTCAGCCTCAGACCTTGCCACTGTCACCCCACATCCTGCTCCCCTTCCCCGGCCCCCTCTAGCCATCTCCAAACCCATGCAGACACTGCTCTCTTTGCCACTCAGGTCTCAGGACAGAAAGTCACAGCAAGCTGGCCTGGAGCCTACTGGTCACATGCAGCACTTGGGGTGACTAAGCTGCGGGGATAGAGCCCCTCAGGCCTCACCAGAGGGCTCCCCTCTGCCTGCGGCCCCTGGGGCTGGAGTGATGAACAGCATCCCTGGCCCAGTCACCGCCATCACAGACACAGTTAGGGCTGCCCTTGTCTGACGAGTCTAGCTGCTTGCACAGCTGTCATGTCCCGGAGGTCTGCCTCGATGCCATACAGTCCTGTACCCACACATCCGGTTCCTCACCCCTAAAGTCGCCCCTTGCTGTTCTTTGCAGTTTCCAGTGCGTTGCAGTTTGCCAGCATCATTCACTGGATCAGTCTGGTCATCCTCTCGGTGTTCTTCTCGGAGGTAGGTGAAGGCTCAGGCTGTGAGCTCCAGTAGGGCAACTGCTTACAGGAAGCCAGGCTTTGCTTCCATACACATTTCTAGGTGGCTGGCCCCGGCTGGTCCTTGCGCAGCAGGCAGTGCTGCCATGGGAGGTGCTCAGGGAGAAGCTGGGCCTTCGAAGCTTTGAGGTTGGGTCCAAGCTGGCAACCCTGAGAGGAGCCCCAGAGGATGAGCAGGTGGTGTCTGGGTGAGGGGTGGCCATGGCACTACAAGGGGAGACTGAGCGTGATGCTGAAGAACAGAGTGATTGGTGGCTGGTAAGGAGCAGACAAGAGGTGAGGCAGAACCCCAGGGAGCTGGAGGAAGGGAGCAGTGAGGACTCAGTGGCCTGTCCCTTGGGGCCAAGGAAGCAGAGGGCAGAAAATGTGTCTTGAGGCTGGAAGAGGGGACTGACGAGGCTGAAGATGTGCCCTGGGGTGGGCAAGGGGGTGTGTTTCTGAACCGGTGACTGGGGACATGGATGCCCCTGGTCTTGCTGGAGTTGGTGGGTAAAAACCATGTCACAGAAGCTAACTAGAGGCTCCCGGGCCTCCTGTGGACCAGATCCAACTGATCTATGGCACGGCTTTCCCTCTCCCTACAGAGAGGAGGGCTGGGCCTGGGGCCTGGAGCCCAGAATCCTGGGTGTGGGGGTGTGCAGACTGGGCAGCAGGCATTCTAGAACATTCCCTTCCTCAGGCCCTGCTTTGTGAGCCCATGAAATTGGCCGTTCTGGGTCCAGGGTTCAGGCTACAGGAGCATCTCCCACACTGTCCTCTGGGAAGCTCCCCGACCAGCTTGCTGCCCCCGAAGCAATGTGCCTGCTCCAAGCCTTGTGCCCCTCCGGGGTCCTGTTCTCTCCAGCCCTATCTCTGCTCCTTGGGATTCCCTCCCACAGACACGGGCTGGACCAAATGGCTCCAGCATGCAAACCTTGGAAAATGGACCATGTGTCTGTGTCTGCCAACAAAAATGTTTAATCAGTTGCTGTATTTCTCTCCCTCCATCCCTCTGCTTTGGTTTTATTGGCTTTGGCAGAATTTATTACCCAGCGTTAATTTGGCATCCCCTTCCTGTCACTGCCGGAGACAAACCACCTGAAACAGACGAGGCCCTGTGCACAGGAATCTCAGACTGAGCCCCTCACGCATCCCCCAAAGTGGAGAAGGGGCTGGAGCTCCCCACAGGCTCAGCGGGAGAGCCAGGCACAGGAGCTGGGGAGAAGGGCTGGGCCTCACCCGGGCCTCACCCGGGCCTTAGGGAGATGGTAAAGGTGGGCTGGAGCCTGGCATGGAGCAGCGGGGTCCTCGCCTCCCTCAGTGCCCAGCGCAGCGTGAGCAAGGAACATAGTGAGCACAGGTCCAGGCGACCTTACCAGCACCAGGAGGACCAAGTCCCAGAGCCCCCACCGCTGGGTTTTGGAAGTGTGCCAGCTGTTTGTGCTCACAGTGACAGGGACACCTCTGGCAGGAGGGGGGGGGCAGTGCCTCTCACCAGGCGTCGTGCCAGTGGGATCCTTGTAAACCCACCCCGAGGAGGGGCGCAGCCTGGGTTGCACAGCCAGTTACAGCCATAGCTGGAGCCAACTCTGCCTCCTGAGCTGGTCTCTTGCCCCTGCTCTCCTGCCGTGGGCTTGAGGCCAGCTGCTTGGGAGAGGACCGAGAATCTGGGAAAGACCAAGGCCAAAGCCAGGAATGGAGAAAGTAAAAGTTTGACCACAGACTCAGGACGACCAGCCTCCCTCCTCTTCTGGGAAAATGGAGGTCGCCGTTCAGATCCCGCCCCTTTGCTCTGGTGCCTGCTCTGGTAAGTGGCCGAGAGCCAGGTGCAGTCTGTCCCTTCTCGGGCCTGGCAGGCGGCTGTGTCTTGGCATCATCCAGGAAGTCAGCCCCAGTCCCCTGCTGCCCCAGAGCCCTTGTCCTGTTCCCGAGCAGTAGTCTACCCCTTATCTCAGTGGAGCCTTAGGACAGCCTTGGGTGTAGGACAGGTTGGGAAACGGAGGCCCAGAGTATGTGGAAAGCTCCCAAAGGCCTGTGGGAACCACAGAGGAAGCCAGATGTGGCCCTCACCATCCCAGAGCTCTGCTGGCGGCTGGGGAAAAGGGCTGCTCTGTCTGCCCAGGCCAGAGCACAGCGCTCCAGCCAGCCACCCTGGTGGACACAGGCGCTTCTCAGAAAGGTTATGCACCTCAGCAGGCAGGGCCCATGGTGAGAGCGGGTTCTCCAGAGGCCTCGGGGCCCTGCTGTACTGGGTCAGATGGGGCCACCACCCCTCTGTGTGGCCTGCAGCTCAAGAGCGAGCAGAGCCTTGGAACCTGAGGGCGAGGTGAACAACATTTCCAAAGTGCACCCACCCTTGTCGGGGACCTGGCCAGGTGGCCGCTTGGAGTCAAAGTGAGGGCCAGAGCCCTCGCAACCTCCTGGCTGATGCTGGGCCACCCCACAGCAGGGCCCAAGGCAGGTCCTGAGGTGACCTGTGGGATCTGGAGAGGACCAGGTCACCCAGCTCTTCCCGAGGAAGGAGGAACAGCTGATCCCAGCTGGCCTTGATAGGAGCCTCAAGGCGTGGCAGTATAGTGGCAGTTGTGGTGACAGTGGGGTTGTCAGGATTGTTGCTTCTCCCCCCACCATGGACTCTGAGGAGACAGCCTTCTCAGCGTGCGAGTTGGCACACACAGTGACATGTATCCTTCCCTCCACCCAGTCCCCAAAACACTTCTGTTACCCCAGAGGAGACCTCATCCTCACCAGGCAAGTCCTTCCCCTCCCCTGACCCCTCTTCTGCTGTCTGTCTCTGTGAACTTACCTGTTCTGGACGTTTTGTAGAAATGGAACCATAGACTGGTGGCCTTGTGTGTCTGGCTTCTATCACATGACATGATGTTTCCATGGTTCATGTGCATTGCTACTGGATCAAGACTCCAACCCTATTTGTATCTGAATAATATTACACTGACCATGTTTGTCTGTCTAGTCATTGACAAATCAAGGCAGCTACCTCTTCCTCCCCAAGGTGTCTGTGGCTCCACAGTCTTTTGTCAAAACAATCTGTGCCAGGACCCCATCTTTCCACGTCTGAGCCACCTTGAGCTTCTGGGTCCCTGAGGTCCTTCCCTGCTTGCATGTCTTCCAGGAGCCCTGGGAGCCTCTGTCCTTGAGTGGGAAGTGAGGAGCTGGTGCTGTGCTTTATGCTGTGAAAGATGAAGGTGAATTTGCTTCCAGTCAGTGCTCGGCTGAGGGAGCGAGTTTGGCCAGTACAACCCTATGTGATCTTGGGCCAGTCACCGCCCCTGTCTGTGCTTTCCTCCCACAAAAGCATAGGACCACAGGACAGACCCACGGCAAGGCAGAACCACTGTGGCCTTCAGGAGAGGTTCCCCTGCCCCTTCCCTCTCTGAGGCCCAGAGTGTGTAGGGGAATCAGGTCCCAGACATGCACTCCAGTGGGGACGTGGCTGCCCTGCCACCCTGCAGGCTGAACCTGTGGAGTTAGAAGAGCAGTGAGAAGACGGGGAGGAGACCCCCTGGGAGGGCTTCACAGGATCAGCCTTGCCTAGCAGGCTCCTGGCCTTGGATCCCATGCTGCACTGACCCCTGGCGGGCTAGCGCCAGAGCCAGACTGCAGTGACACCTGGCTGACTTCCCCACTCCTCAACCGGACCTGGGGTCTTGGGCAGACATTTTTTGAAAAGCAGTGTCAAGGTGTAAAGTCACGGAGACAGCAGAGAGGGTTCAGCGAACACTGTAGTTGATTTATTATAACCGTTTCATGGAAACTGGCATGAGATCCTTGGCTTCCAAAGTCAGCATGTTACACTGCCTTCCAGCAGGGACGCGTCCTGGCTAGGCCACCTCTTTTCCCGTGCACAAAGGGGGCACACAGTGGTACCAGCGTGTCAGCTCCAGGCTCTTACTCTGAAGTGCCCAGGCTCGGGCCTGTGGCCCAGAAGGACCGTCATGGCCACCATCTCCACGTCCTCCCTGACCCACACCTGTCCACCAGGGCTGTGGTGGGCAAATGAACCTTCCTCTCAGTGCTTCTCCTCCCTCAACATTTTCCCTTCTTTCACTCGGACACATCACTTACTCTTTCTCCACCTGCTCCCTGTCCTCAGAGGCTGAGGTGGTGCAGTTTCTTGTGGCTCTGTCCAAGAGAGGGTCTACAAGTTAATTTTCTCTGCCATTTTGGAGAGGAGAAAGAGGTAGTTTGCATGTCAGTGCCTTGCTAGTGAGTCTTTACATGAACTTTGAAATTTGAAGCTTAATGTTACTAATATATTTTATAGTGTGAAACCCAGCTAGAAATGGCTTTAGTGGTGCTTAGCAACACTGTTTTATATACTTATTCTAAATTAATCTATATTGACATGCTTGGCCTGTTTTATTGACATTTTAAAATAATCATCCTTTTTTATTCTAAAAGGAAGGATAGCCTTGGCATCATCATCTTATTTGAGAATAGTGCAGGTATTTGTCACACTGCAGGCAGGACAGTCAGAGGAACCCACGAACTCACGCCAAAGCTATGTGCCCCTGCATCCAGCTGGCTTCCAGAAGAGCTGAATTCAATGTAATTTCATCAGTATGTTTTTAATAAATCAAAACATATGTTAATGAATTTTGGGACTCACTAGTAAGGAAAACATGACGTGAATGTTAACATAGAAAACAGATTCCGAGTGGAGGGTTATTTTGTGAATGCACTCTAAACCTTGTTAACCTTGAATTACTGTGCTTTAAGGGGCATTTGTCAGGCTGTTGGGAGACAGGTACTTCCCTGCTCTCGGTGATCTTTGACCCCATGAAGCCACACAGTACCAAGTGACACAGTGAGGTCCCAGAGCAGTAGCCTTGGAGAGAAGGCAGGGAGACTGTGTGGGACAGACTGAGGACAAGCCTTATGCAGTGAGGTCCTCAGGTGTCCCAGGCAGGAGGGGGCAGAGCGAGACTGGAATTTGAGTTGTTCAAGGTCACCCAGCCAGTCCAGTTCTGAGCTGTGACCTCAAGACCTGTCATACCCCACTGGGATCTCTTCCCACCCTGGGTATTATCTTGCAACTAAGCATGGGCTGCCAACCCAGAGGCTGAGAGGCCATAGAGGGGCTGCCTGCCACAAAATCCCTCCTCCTTGTCTCTCATGGGGTCCCTCCTTGTCCCTCTCCCTCCTTTAAGGGGAAGAGTAGATGTCACCAGCCAGGTCTCTTCTGGTATCTAAGTGTGGGTGGGTGGTGACCCAAGGGCTCTGTAGTGTCCCTGAGCTCACAAGGTGTCCTTGAGGGACAAGGTCACCATTGGGTGTGAAACAGGGTCACTATGGCTCAAGGAAGGACCACAGACAAAGCAGGGTCAGAGGAAAACCAGCTTTGTAGAATCTTCTGTGGACAGACATCCTGCTAATGAGGAAGGCACTCCTGGAGGCCACAGTACTGAGGGATTTCTCCATGTATGCATTTGTCACTCTGACACAGGTGTCACCATGCAGCGTCTACACTATGACAGGGACTAGGGATGAGGGAGCTGTCAGTGTCCTCCAGGCCTTAACCAGCGACTGGGGTGTGACGCCAGGGTGGGGACTCGAGGACCACACAGATCTGAAGAAAGGGTACCCACTGAGCCTGGGGAATGGAGAAGGCTCCACAGAGGTAGCATCTGAGCTGGGGGCAGAGGACAAGAGGGGACTGCACCCTGCTCGTTAGCACACAGGCTGTGCTGCTGTAACAAGAAAACCCCAAATGGAGGAACTTAAACTGGGTAAGTTAACTGCTGTCACAGAAGGACAGGTTTTGGGGTAGGCCCTGAAGGCCGATGTTGTGGCTTGGCGGTATTGGAGACTTAACAGGCTGCCATGTCCTTGCCCAGGCCTCCCCAGTTAGAGATGGCTCAGGACCTGTCACACTGGTAAGCTTCCAGGGAGAGGAAAATGGGGAAGAGCTGACCCCATGGGCACAACCTGGACATTGGCTGGAGCTTAGACCTGTGGTCACTCTGAGGTGCAAGGAAGGCTGGGAAATGTAGTCTTCAGCTGGGTGGCCGTGCTGAAGGACAGAAGAGATACGGGGTGAGGGGTATCAACTGTCAGCCTTCATCATATGCAAAGGCAGAGGCAAGGAGGGGCCAGGGATTTAGCTCAGTGGTCCGGCGCCTGCCTCGAAAGTGCAAGGTCCCAAGTTTGATCCCCGGTACCAAAAAAAAAAAGACAAAGGCAAGGAGAACAGTTTGCATGTTTGAAGATTTGTAAATAGTTTTGTGTCGTGAGGGGAGAGGCAAGAGGCAGTGTTGAAGAGGGAGGCAGGTTTTGAGGCTCTCTCCCTGGGGTTAGATGTGAAGGGTTTTGAGTGAGGCTGCCCTGACAGAGCTAGGTGGCAGGGGTCACAAGAGGCATAGCCACTGGCCACCATGAGGCCCGGAGCTGGACACTCAGAGTGGGAATGAGGAAGGCGCCAGGCTGAGGAGTCCATTTCCCTGTGGCTGGGCAGGAAATCTGGGCTGAGGGCAGGCACTGGAGAAGAGTAAGCACTTCTTCTCTCCTCAGACGGTCCTGCGGATTGTGGTGCTGGGGATCTGGGACTATATCGAAAACAAAATAGAGGTAAGGACCCAGGTCTAGCCCCACCCCCCAACTCAGACATCCTGGGAGCTGGCAAACATCACAGTCCCACCCATCCTGGGGGGGACAGGTCCTCTAAGCCAGCCCTTCCTGCAGGTGACCCGGAGTCCTGTCAGCTGCACAGGTTGGGTGGCTGGAGAGGAGGTGGGAAGGGGCGACCTGGGCTGGTTTCCAGCAAAAGGACATTCTAAGAAATTCTCCTTGAAGTTCTACACCATTTTAAAATTTATTCTTGGGCTGGAGATGTAACTCATCCCCAGAGCAAGTGCTTAGCACACATGAAGCCCTGGGTTCTATTGCCAGCACCAAAAAAAAAAAAAGTTTTTTTATTGACTCAATTTGCAAAGCTTTTGGAATGTGCTTAAAAAACAAACAAATCCACTCTGACATGGCGCAGCAGTCAGGGAGCTGAGCAGGGAAACTGCAGACATGATTCTCAGGCTGCACCTGCACTCTGCTCATGGCAGAAGGGGCAGGCAGGGCTGAGGCGCACAGGCCTCACTGTGCTAACACTGGTTTTGCACACAGGCAAGACACGGTGTCCAGGACCCAGGACTTCACTGTGCGCCAGCCCCCGAACCCCCGTGGGGGTGGGGACTGTGTGCTGTTCCAGGTGAACACATGGGCCCTGGACTCTGCTACCCATGGGGAGAGAGGACCCTGAGCCCTGCCCTGGCTTTCTCTGGTCCTGGAGCTCTGAATCCCCCTCATCCCACAGGTGTTTGACGGGGCCGTGATCATCCTGTCCTTGGCCCCGATGGTGGCGTCCACTGTGGCCAACGGGCCCCGGAGCCCCTGGGACGCCATCAGCCTCATCATCATGCTCCGGATCTGGCGGGTGAAGAGGGTCATCGATGGTGAGTGGCCTAGGGTTCTGTGGGGCTGGCAGGGGCTGGGGTAGCCACCAAGGCAGGGACGAGGCTGTTCGTCGGGGAGCCAGGCCTGCCCAGCCTGCCCAGCCACAGTGAATCCAAGCCTCTTTTCTTCTGCACAGTCCTATCCTGCGTGCAAAGGGGCTGGGCTCAGAGCACCTCGGGCCTCCCCTTGTCCTTTTAGAACCACAGGAACAGATGCTATGAGTCGTACTGCAAGCGACAGCGGCTGTGGCTCCAAGTGTCCCCCTCAGTGCTTGCTCAGTGGGGACCAGACAGGCAGGGGGGCACTGGGCCCATTTCCTGGAGCAGCCTCTCCCTGTCCCCAGCCCACACCCACCCTGGGGACACTGGGCCCTGGTCCTGTTTCTGCCTGACACTTAGTCATGCGGTCCTGATACAGGATCATCGAACTGGCATATGCTGGGGTCCAGCTACATCTGGAGGATCATCTGTCCTATCCCCTGCATTTGACAGATGGGGAAACTAAGGCCAGAGGGGGCTGAGGTCACACAGCAGATGGGTGACTAGCAGTTCTGGCTCCTCCTGCCAGCTGTGCACAGCTGCACCCCTCACACTAATGGGCTTTGCCAACCTGGTGCTGACCCCCTTCCCAGCTGTCCCCCTGCCAGTGAACCTCACCATGGGGACTGTGGGTGAGCAGACAGGTGTAGATTTGCTCCCTGGCCTCAGAGGAGCTGTGAGCCGCTAGGCCTCTAGCTGTCTTGGAGCACGCAGCTGCCCTCAAGTCCAAGCAAACTGAAAAGATCCTATTTCCCTTCTGTGCACAACGCTTGCTACAGCCAGGGAACATTGGGTGGTGGGGACCCCTGGCAAAAAGGAGTTATGCAGTGTAGATGTGGAGGGTTCTATAAGGCAAGAGAGGCCAGGGGCTGGAGTTCCCGAGGGGTCAGGATGAGCTGGGTGGCCTGAGGTGAGACAGGGCATCAGGGGAGAGCCCTGTTTAAGGTTGAGAACTAATTCTGACGTTTCTAAGAAGCCCTCCAGCTGCTGAGCCTGGGAACTGCCACATAGGGCCGGGTGCTGCTGCTGGAGGGAAGATCCCAGAGCCCTCACGTTCAGTATCCACGCTTTCTCCATGTGCGTCAGCTTTAGTCGGGATCCTCTGTAACAGAGACCCAGAGGAGCAGCAACCTCAATAAACCAGCAGCTTATTTCTCTCATGTGAGCATCCATGGCAGCTGCAGGTGGTGATATGGCCCCACTCCCTGTGGTCAGGATCCTGGTCTGGCTATTTCGTCCGTCTAAGCCAGGGATGGCAAACCTTTTAGAGACAAATGTCCAAACTGCAACCCATAACCCACTTGTGTATCACAAAGTGCCAACACTGCAATTAAACCTGAATATTGAGGTTTTAGTTTAGAAAAAACAATTCATACATTAACATCTTTTGTCTTAAAAGAAAAACAACACACATGCCATGGGTTCACCACCACTGCTCTAGGCTCGTATCCTATTTTTCACTGTCTCCCCATCGTCTAAGATGGCTGTTCCATTGCCAGCCATCACGTCTTCACTGTGAGGAGGAAGAGGAGGAGGGAGGAAGATGATCAAGAAGCAAAAGGAAAGCCCCAGCTGCCATTTGTCTGTGTGTCTATCATCCATCTATCTGGGGAAACAGCTTGTTTTGATGGGTTATCACCAGAATCCCAAAGAACTATGTATTAATTCTCAGTTACTCCCTGTCCCTCTGGGACCTCACAGTGCTCTGCCCGGGAAGATGATATACATTGCCTTTTGTTTTTCCATGGCCCCAGTCTTTCCTCATTTAGCCTCACGTGGAAACTTAGTAGCAGTACTGGCTTCTCCCGCAATGATGCTTGCTCAGCTACTTAGTTACAACAGGAGGTAGAGAAGTTGGTGGAGGAGAATTAGATGAGTATAAAGAGTAATGCATAGGAAAATAGGAGTGTGGCCTACCTGAGGTCCCTCTATCCTGTCCCAGTGGCTTTACCCTTCACTGGCTTTGTTTCTCTTTGTTTTGGATCCTGCTGTTTGGAAGCCACTTCCAGCCCCAGAGCCATGGGTCTAAGGTGGCTGCCACAGTGCCAACCATCACATCCTGAGGCCACTGGTAGCTGCAAAGGAAACTGGAGAAGAGTCATTATTCCAGGCAGCTGGAATATGAGATGCAGTCATTCCAACTTGGACACATTCCTGACCCTTAAAGATCTGCAGGGATCTGTCAGACAGATTCTGCCACCTGGTTCATCTTTGCTGTCTCTGTCCAGGTTAGGCGCTGTAGTTTGTGACAGTGGGATTTGTGACAGGAATGTCACACTCGATGTTAGCTCATATTTGAAGAGGCCATGCATGAACCTGCAGTTTCCATCTAGCCAGAGCCCCTTCCTAGTTGGATTGCAGTCGGAGCCAGTCCTTGTCTCCCACAGCCTGGGTAAGGGGCTGGTGCCACCCCTGGACTGCAGGGTCCAGCCTCAGTCTTCCACACTGGTCTGGGTGGCTTTGTCTGCCACCTTGGACTGGGGTGCAAGAGCCACCTTATCTTTAATCTCTTTCTTGAGATGAAGTCACATGCTGTGAAATCCACTCAATTAAAGTGCACAGCTCAGCGATGTTTTATGTATTAGTAGTGTTATGCAACCACCACTAAACCTAAGGTTGGAGCACTCTCATCACCCCAGAAGAAACCCTGAGCTCTCCAGCTCCCTCTTCCCATCCCCCAAGCCCCAGGCTCACACTGATCCACTTCCCACCTCTGCAGAGCTGCCCGTCGTGAACCCGCCATGTAGACAGAATTGCACAACATGTGGGATTTTGTGTCTGGCTTCTTCCACACATCACAATGTCCTCAGGGCTCCTCTGTGTCGTCCATGCATCCGTATTTCCTTCCTCAAGCACTGTTGGATTGTATTTCATCTCTTCCGTCATGGATTGGTGAAAGTTTGGGCTGTTTCTGCCTTGGGGCCATCATGGACTACACCCACCCCCCACCCCCATGTGCTGCAGTGCGCGCTGCCGTGCAGGTTGTTTTTGGTTCTCTCAGGCACCTAGGCATGGGGGCGCTGGGCTGTGCCACTCCGTTTACTATGCTAAGGGGCTGCCAAGCTGTTCTCTAGGTTGGCCGCACACCAGCAACATGTGAGGGTCCCCACTGCCCCAGCGCTTTTTAAGGCAGATGCCAGGCCTCCTCCGTTGCACCCACTGTCCAGGAAATGTCCCCTGCCACTGGTGGCTGTAAAGGAGGCTGGAGGACAGTCATTATCCAGGCAGCCATGACGACAGCCAACATTAAGTCCCTGCAGGAGAAGAAAGTGTCTCCCCAGCAATTTGAGCTCAGCTGCAACCCCTGTGCTTTCCAGATGCACGCAGGTGCTGCCCATTCCTCACGGCTGTCTGTCTTCCAGCATACGTCCTGCCCGTGAAGGTGGAGATGGAGATGGTCATCCAGCAGTATGAGAAGGCCAAGGTCATGCAGGACGAGCAGCTGGAGAGGCTGACACAGATCTGCCAGGAGCAGGGGGTAGGTAACGTGCAGCACAGGTCTATCCTGTCCATTCTGAGCAGGCCCTGTGGGGGACACTGGAGCACCCAAACCCCCAGGACATCAGAGCTCAGGGCCACAAGGTCAGGGAGCCCCCCAGGGCAAAGTCCTTGTCATTGTGCCACAGTGGTCCTTCTCCTCCCAAGTGAGCAGCCATGTAACCATCATTCATTCACCAGCACTCGCAGGGCCACAGTCCCCAAGAAGGCACAAATCTGTCTGCTAAGGGCTGCTAGGCACTAGTGCTCATCAGCACCGAGACCCTGGGACACCCCAAAGAGATGTTAGGGGTGCACTCTGCCCACCAGGAGCCCAAGAAGGCCCTGTGAGCACACTAGGCAACAGGGTGGGGTGGGGCCTTGCCGCTTCCTTTCCTGGGGACTTCGACCCTTGGGTCCCTCATCTGTAAGATGGGGGCACAGCTCCTTCCAGGGGATTCAGAGGAAGGGCTACAGCTGACCCTGTAGCCAGGCTCCAGGGCTCTGCAGAATCACAGCAGGTGAGGCTCCTGTGCAGGTCACATGATGGGAATGTTGGGGTGAGGGACATTTGACAGGCGGATCATTGCCATCCTGCCACCCCCAGCACCCCTGGTTTATAGTGCAGTGAGGATGGCCACCCTTGTTCCCCTACTGCCTATACACAGGGTCCCTCCAGGGGCTGAGGACTGAAGTCTCGCCCATCACACACCATGTGCCTTCCCATCTGTCTTTCAGGGAACCACATCTGTTCCTCTTTCTGAAACACCACAGCCTTGGGTTTGAGCACAGAATGCTTCTGAGTGACAGGCAGGGCCCTGAGGGATGCATGGTCCAAGGAACATGGGAGCAGGCATTCTATGCAGGGTCTCTCCAGTGTCTTCCAGGACTTGTGCTGGGCACCAGGGATGCCAGCCTGGGCTGGATATGGCCGCTGCCCTCATGGGCTTCAGAGAAGTTTGGCAGCTCAGACAGTAGTGGTCTGATGCCACCCACACTTCTCCGAGGCTTGAGAGTGAGAGGGATTTATGGGGCACTGACCCCAGCAGGGAACATGTGGTGCAGGAGCCCAGGCCTGTGCCCGGGGTGGCAGGCAGCAGGAAGGCTGGAGGGGCTGTGGAGGCCCCTGCTGGCCAGGGCGGGCCTCCCAGCCTCATCTTGGGAAGGAGGAGTGCTGGAAGTCGGGTGGGAGGAGTCAGCTCTGATGTGAGTTTTGTGGTCCTTCCTGGCTGCACTGAAGGACAGGGAGGGGGATTGAAGAGACTCAGTTCTGGGTGTCATCCAGAAGCTGGCTGGGGGTTATCAAGTGGTTCTCAGTGCACCACAGGACAGGAAAACAAACCCGCTGCCTCTGCCCCGCCTAAACGCACAGGCGCTGACCCTGCCTCTCGCCTCCCGTCAGCAGCATGGGTGTCAGCCGGCCAGGAGGAAATCCTAGTGGCAGGCCCACCCCGGTGTCTCCATGGTGACCCTTATCCTGAGCCCCTCAGTCTCACCCACATGTGGCCACCTTCCCGAGGGGCCAGGCCACAGGGAGGTTCCCTGGGCTTCTGCACAGGAAAGAGCCAATAAATACAGACAGGCCCCTCTCTCTAGCAACATCTGGAAAAGAGATGAACAGAAACAAACCATCTTAATTCAAAAACCACCTGAAGCCTGCAAACCCAGTTAAGAAGGCGGAAAGGGCCCAGCAGCCTGGATCCCAGGGGGCCATTGGGGAGACCTGGCCAGGCGTGCTCAGGCTTCTGCAGGGAAACCAGGAAGCTGCTGTCCAGGGCCTGCAGAGACACCATATCTGAGACTCACCTGGGTGTGTTGTCCTTGGAATGGCAGGGATGGCCAGACCCCTCTGGAGAGCAGCCTGTGATGGGTAAGAATAGACATTAGGGACAACGAGAGTCAAAGCCAACCCTGTCATTTGTGCTTTGGGCACTGCTGGGACTTTTGTGGGCCTCAGTTTTGCTCATCTGGAAATGGGGATGGTAATAAAACCCTAGAAGGACCAAGGTGAGACTGCTGAGCAGAGAAAAGTTGAGTTTTCTGTCCTTGATACCCTTAAAGAGACAAGGGGTTCCATCTAGGGTGTCTTGGGGCCCAGAACCCAAGGAGGCCAGTGGAACCCAGGAACCCCTGGAAGGTAGAGAAAATTCACTGACCTGGGGGGTGGCAGCTTTTTCTTTGGATAAAAGGAGACAGTAAGTCTCTCCTCATGTGGATGCTATGAGGGTCACGATAAATCGGGTAGTATACCTGGGGGCTCCTAGTAAGACTGGGGAGCAAAGACTTGGAGCATAGGGTTGGCCCTTTACAAACACAGTCGTGTACTTCAGCTCAGTCCATCTGATGGTCTGGGCTGGCAGGCGAGGTGCCCTTTAGGAAGGCTGAGGTGTGGAGAGGCTGTTCTTGTCCAGGTGGGCACAGTGAGCGTGAGAACCTCTAGTGGCCACATCAGGTGATGCCAGCAGTCTTGGTGACTGAGTGCAAGAGTGTGTTTGTCACGCACCTCATTCCAGGACAGGCTGTGATGCTATGGCACAGGAGGATCCTGTGGCCCCCAGACTCCTCCCTCAGAGTCCTGCGGGTCATCTTAGCCGGGTGTGCAGGGAAGGGGAGTAGAGAGCTGGGCTCAGGGCTGTGCTGCTGAGCTCAGGCATGGTGATGTGGCTTCTGCCCATTTCATTAGCAAGGCTCAGTTACACAGTCCCAGGCCAGATGCCCCAGGAGCCATCTGTGTGCCCCAGAAGAGGCAAGATTACCTGCACATTTGCCTAATCTATAAACCAGGCCACTGGGCTCGTGACCTCTCCCTACCTTTTCCCCATTCCTGTGTGGCAGGAGAGCAGTCTCGCCACAATGTCCCCAGTCCCCATCTCTCTGCCTGTTTCCTGAAGAAATAAGGCAGTAATCTTGACCTCAGCTCAGTGTGTTTCTGAAGGAGGATGGTGACAGAGGGCAGCATGACTCTCCCCTCTGTGCCCTTGGGCTGGGGTCAGAGCAGACCCGTAAGTGGGGAGCTGGGCCCCTTCCTGTCCTGCAGCCCCATCTCAGCTCCTTGAGAGGAAGTCCCTCTGCATTTGTGCACAAAAGTCACTTACCTTAGAGGCTGGGCCCACAGCTCAGAGTTGGGCAAGCAGGCAGATGTAGCAGGAAAACAGCGGGAATGGGTTCCGGCTCCAGGATGGGCTAATGCTGGATTATCCCAGAGAGTTCTTTCTATGCAGGGCCATAAGTCCCAGCTCGGCCCAGTTGCCTTCCTTACCTGGATTATTCAAGATCTCTCCTGTGGGAAGAGGATTTTTAAAAAAATTTTAACATAGGAAGTGATTTGTAAAAGAGCTGATAGCTTTAATGACAAGCCTATTTAGTTGATAAAATTAGCCATCAGAGGAATAACTTATGTTATCCTTTTGCCATAATTTAAATTTATGGCCAACTACCAGTCATCTTCACAGTGGATGGAAAGGGGCCAAGGTCGGTCTGAGCTTCACCCTGGCCCTAAATCATGAGTTTGCAACTGTCTCCTGATTTTTATTGTTACCAACAATGGTGGAACTAATGGAAATAAACATTGGATCCCATCCCAAAAGCAGATGGGGTGGAAGGCAGGGCAGTCGGTGTAGACAGCACTAATAGGATGGAGCAGAATTATTGCTATTGCATTAGATACCATCGAGCTCTGGCCTGGGAGTGCATTGATCGGACCAAGGGCCATATCAAGTGGACTCCACACCCAGCCCATTAGAGGCAGAAAGTGCTGGGTGTGGCCATAGCCGCCAATGGGTCCGGCCTGCTTGGCCCTGCATTAAAAACTGTCTGTGGAAGGGGCCTGATCCACCCCAGTAATGCACAGCTCGGGCTTCCCTGGGGACCCTGGTCCATATGGTCGGGTTATCTGATTAGAAATACGTAGCTAATGACACGCATTTAGTGGGGCTGTGGCTGCGCTTTGATTCTTCCCCAGCCTGGGGTGAACTTTTTTTCCCCAACAGGCCAGTTTGCCAGTGGAAGACTTGTTTCCTTCAGTCACCAAAGGCCCCTGCACCTTCTCCCAGGGAGCCTGAGTGCTGGGTGGTTCTTCCTGTGTGGACTTCATCATATCTCCGTGTGAGGTTTCTGTGTTTATCCTGCTCAGGAGTGCCTATGTTTCTGGAAGTTTCTCATTAGATTTGGAGTTTGGAGCCATGATTCCTTTGTTTGTTTTGATGCTTTGATGGTAGGGATTGAACCCAAGGCCTCTCTCATGCTAAGCAAGCACTTGCCCTGAGCCACATCCCTGGCCCTGGGATGGATGGATTTATTGCTTCTATCACATTTTTTTCATTCTCTTCTTTAATCATTTAATCATTCTGAGCAGGGGTGTTTTTTTTTGTACCAGGGATCAAACTCAGGACCTTGCGCTTGCTTTCGAGGCAGGTGGCGGAACCACTGAATCATTTAATCATTCTCTTCCTTTAATCCTGTGTCAGACCAACTGACCTTGTCTCGGCTCTCTCTTATATCCTGTCTTGTTCCCCCATTCCCTCTTGTTTTTTCTCAGGCTGTACGTTTTGATATTTTTATTGGCCTGTCTTCTGTGACATCCAATCTGCTGTCACTCTCATCAGTAGAGTGCTTAATTCTAAATATTATGTATGAAGGTTCTGAAAGCTTCATTGGATTCCTTTCATAGATTCTAATTCTTTGCTACATTCATTTTGCCCATCTTTTCCCTTTTTTTAACATGTTAATCATAGTTATTTTGAAGTCCTTATTTTTTTTCTTAATTGCAGCACTGAGGATTGAACCCAGGAAGTGCTGAGGTACATCCCCAGCCCTTCTCTTTTTCTCTCCTTTTTGTTTTGAGACAGGATCCCACTAAGTTGCTTAGGCTGACTGGAACTTGCAGTCGCCCTGCCTCGCCTCCCAAGTAGCCATTATGGCCTACCTTATCTGTTTACTCAAATATTTACGTGGGTCACCTTCTACTAACTGCTTTACATCTTGATAGTTTATGACTTCTCCCTTCTTATTTTCATGACAGGTGATTCATATTCCATGCTACACAATGCTGATGGTCCACTTTAGAGGGTCTGGATTTCTCTTTCTCTAAAGACTTGTCCGCAGGAGAGGGACATCCCAGCAGAGAACAGGGGTCAGCTGCAAGATGACACCGAGTGTTACCTGGCACTTACACTTCCTTCCCCCAAGAGACAGTGCTGAATCCATTGCAGACACAGAATTCAGCCATGCGGTTTGCCTTATTGGACAACACAGGGAAACAAAGAGACCCAAAGTCGGGGAGGGGGGAGCAGCAGCTCAGGTTCCTGCCCCCTGCCCTTGGCACTCCCCACCATGGGGCCCTCCTGCTCTTTCCTGGTGGCCACCGAGCTGCCCTGTGCTCTATTTGCCTGAGTCATTTTCCGTCTATGCATTCGGAGGTCCCTGACACAAGGTCATGGCACTGGAAGCCAGAGTCATTGCTGTGTCCCCTGCTTTGCTGCAGAGGTGCCATGTGGTTCTCGCCTCTGCCTGCCCTCTCTCCACAGAGAGCTCCTTCCTCCAGGCCTCAGTTTCCCCTCTGGACTAATCAGCTTCTGGCCTCCTGGGGCCCTTGGCAGCCCTTCCGTTGGCTTCAGGAAACACGTGTAGCCATAGTAAGGACAGAAGTCAGAAGCCAGGCTCTGAGCATCTCGCCGGAACATCCTGAGACCTCCTGGGCTGCCACAGCTGGTGACCAAAGCTGGGAGCCAGGTGTCCCCTCTGCAGCTCCCCTCTAAGAAGTGAGTCACTATTTCTCAGGAGGGGCCCGAGAGTATTGGGCCACTCCACTGCCTCTGGATAGGAAGCTTGTAAAACTGTGCACAGAGCAGGCTGTTCTCTTTCTCAACCCATCCCAGTCCCTGCCACCCGCCAACAGAGTCACTCCTGTTATTCTCTTCTCCATCTGCACTGTCTCCACCCTGGCCCATCCAGTCCATCCTTCACTCTGTGGCCAGCGTGGTCCCTTCAAGCTGCTCCCTGGGTCACCACCCACCGCCTCCACCAGCCACCCAGTTCCATGAGGATTTCAGTGGCTTCTTGCTCTTTAGATGAAGGCAAAGTCTTCAAACAGCTCACTGTGGCTACATACACTCCCTGGTGTGACTTACTGATTCTGTCTGTCTCTTGTATGTTCCAGGCCGCCTCTGTGCCGGGGCCACCCAGGGGGCACCCCCAAGCTAGGGCAGGCATTTTCATTGCAAAACATAACAGAATTTTAATGTGACCCCCAGCAGGCTTTCTCGGTGACTGAATGAGTGAATGGGAGAACTACCCACACTTGGAGCTTATGTCTTTAGCTCGAAACCCGTATCTGTGTTCCAGCCACTGGTGCCCACATGGGGTTGGGGCTAGGCGAGCCCTGTCCTCCAGCTGTCTGGCCTGAATTCTAGTGGGACTTTCTAGGGCAGCTCCATATCAATTTCAGGCCATCAATAATGCATCCCTTCAGAGTGGCTCAGGAAGCCATTAGCTGGGCCTGCGGGCCCAGATGCATGGCCTTGGAGAAAGCGGACCAGGGTGCCCAGGGGAAGTTCAGATCAGCCTGGGCAGGAGGGGCTCCCACCCCAGATGAGCTCAGCAGGGTTGCCCAAAGGCCCTTGAGGACCTAGAAGCTTTGCTACCAGGGAGTGGTGTGTACCCTCTCTCTTCCTGAACAAAAGCCACCCCCAAACAGGGCAGGCTCACTCTCCCACCCTCTGAAACCAGAAGCCCCACTAGGTGCTGGGTTGTTGGGGCCCAGGGTCTGAGCCTCGTCTGAGATCAGAGTCAGGACAGAGTCTGTGGCTAGGTCCAGGCTGTGCGTGGGACTGCCTCTGCCTGCCCTCTCCCCACGCAAAGGGCTCCTCCCGCCATCCAGGCCTGTCTCAGCTTTGGGTGAGGATTGGGGCACAGGTTGAGTGGGAGTTAGGCTCACTCTGAAACCACAGAGCTAAACAAGCTACCAGTTTGTTCACTTGTTGACGATATTGCCTGCGCACCTCTGGTGTGCCGGGCGACATCACAGCAAGGTTGCTGTCGGTGGATGGCCACATGTGTTGGAGCTCTTGCCCACTCAGTGGGAGCCAGCTCCTCAGTGCCAACTGCACACATTTCTCCAAATTCCTATGACACCGTGTTAGTGGCTTGAAATCAGCCACAGTGAGAGTATTGATACTGCAGAGATTAGCATACACTGCAAAGAATCTGGCTTCCCCCCACCCCCGGCACACTGTCGGGGAGAGAGAAGCCCATAGATAGGCTTTTCACAACGTGGGGAAGGAACGGCACTTGTTTACCCAATCTCCTTCTTAAACTCCACTAATACCACAGTAAGGAGGGGAATGAGCATAAGAGATAAGAAACTGGCTCTTGTCCTGTCATCAGAGATTTCAAGGGATTTGGGGAAAACAGAATAGACAAGAAAGAGGTTGATTCTCCTCTCAGAGCCTCGGAGTGTGGGGGGACAGGATGTGGTATGAGGCAGGGGTGGGGTGGCTAAAAACCTGCACTGGGCATTTGGAATCCCTAAGGGCCCTCTGAACCTTGAGTGGTCAGGAGATGAGCTCTCCCTCCCCAGTCAAGAGGTTTGTCTTTGGGAGACCGAATGGCAGGCTTCTGCACACGGGTCATGGGTCAGGCAGGAGCCTGGGAGAGATGTGGAACTGGAACCGTAGGTCAGCAAAAGTCCTACCCCCAGGGTGGCGATGGTGTGACCCTCAGCCCGCGTCCCTGCTCTGCTCAGTGGCAGCCACAGGTATAACCCCAGCCTGAACAGTCCGAGGACCACACGAGAGACACTGACATCAGGAAGGTAGTCAGTGTCAGTTTGCTGCCTGGCCAGCCCGGTGCTAGGTAGTGTTTTTAGTTATATACATAGTCTACTTTCATAAAAATAGAAGTTATTAAAAAGGAAAATACACGAAAATATCAGAACATGGTAAGCGCGACACAGAGAATTCAGACAAACTGGTGGGACAAGTGCCTGTTGTCGGTGAGAGTTGGGAGCAGCCAGGGAAGTGGCCCCGAGATCGTGAGCAGCTAGCTGGTGCCTCGATGGAGCTGGGAATGGAGAGGGGAGGAAAGTGTGTTGGCTGAATGGGCAGGACCAGCAAGGAGTGTGGGCTTCTCCCAAGGGCGGTGGTGACACTGAGCTTTGAGGATGGGTGCAGTAGTCTGATGGCTTTGAGAATGGCATTTGGGGACACAGAAGTTGTGCTGGCCAGGTGCAAGCTGACAGCAGAGGTGGGGCGAGGTGGCAGCCTGAGAGAGCACTTGGGGTAG